GATCATCTGCCTAATTCATGCTGGCCTTCCTCGTTTTCGGTGTTCTAAACTTCTATGAATTTCAAGGGCCTTGGCTATTCATGAATTTGAACCAGACCTTTGTGTACAAAAGAAGTGTGCAGAGTGCCAATTTATTTGTTCAGCCTCAATATTGTTTAATTAGCTAATCTTTTTTGATGTGGTTTTGTTCTCTGAGCTGGATAGTTAGTTTGCGAAGCTTTCATCACCTTACTGGGTGACATCTTCAGCGCATACTTCAAATTGAAGTGAGCTTTTAGGTTTCTCCGCGAGTTTATTAATCATTCCTCCTGGTGACCTTGGACGTGATTGGTTGTTTATGTATGTTTTCACACCTTCTAGGTTACTTGTGTTGGAACTGATTGTTTCTGTGACTTGAACTTTGGCCAATCGTGTGTGAAGTTTCTTTCTTATTGGTTGATAAATTTTGTCTATCTCGATGTGTCTATTGATTGATGATTCACTGGAATGCCAAGCTTCTAAAAATTCTCTAGCATTCTTGTTATTTCCTTTGTCTAATATTTGAACGTTGTCCCAGTCGAATTGATGTCCGTGGTTGTCTGTGTGTAGTGAAATGAGGGAGTGTATATCATGTCTTTTGACGGCTAGCTTATGTTCGTGGATACGAAGACGAAGGGGACGTCCACTTTGGCCAATGTAGTGTTTTTCACAGTTGTTACAGTTTATTTTGTAGATGATGTTGGTTTTGTCTTCTTTTGCTGTTGAGTCTTTTGGTTGACATAGAATTGAGTGCAGCGACTTTGTTGGTTTGTGTACGACGTCAATTCCTAAAGGTTTGAAGAGTCTTTTAGTGATTTCTGAGATATCCTTTATATATGGTAAGGCGATTTTCTTTGTGTTTTCCTTGGTGGCTTTTGTTTTGGTAGGTTGGCTTGGGGGTATATGTCTCTTGATGAAATTCCGGGGATATCCATTCTTTTGGAAGACGTCCATGAGATACTTTTCTTCAATTTTTCTTAAGGTGGGAGTGCTGCAGTGAGTCCTTGCTCTCTTGAATAGTGTTTGTATGCAGTTCCTTTTGTGTGCTATTGGGTTGTTGCTGTTGTAATTCAGTATTTGGTCTGTGTGAGTTGATTTCCTATAAACTTGAGTTTCTAATTCTCCTGTAGTTGTTCGCCTGACTAAGACGTCCAAAAATGGTATTTTGTTCTCGGATTCCTCTTCTCTTGTGAATTTGATGTCGTTGAAGACGTTGTTTATTAAGTTGTGAGTTTTGTCTAATTCGTTTCTTTTGATTATTACAAATGTGTCGTCGACGTAGCGTATCCAAATCTTGGGTTTGATCTTTGGTAGAATTATGTTTTCGAGTCTTTGCATCACTGCTTCTGCAATCAAACCTGATATTGGCGATCCCATGGGTGTTCCTTTGACTTGTTCATATATTTGGCCGTTGAATTGGAAGTATGTTGTTAGGCATAGATTTATGCATTCCATCCAGCTTGTGTGTTGCATTTTTGATTGTTGTGGAAGTTGTTCGTCGTTGCTAAGTAATTGCTCCATGGTTTCTTTTGCTAGTTTTTGTCCGATAGAGGTATATAATGCTGTCACGTCGAAGGATACCATTATTTCTTGTTCATCTATTTGGATGTCTCTGATTTTCTCTAGGAATTGGATAGCAGAGTTGATGGAGTGATCACAGGATTCCGTTAGGTGTTTTAGTTTTCTGTATAATTCCTTGGACAAATTATATGTTGGAGTTCCTGGGAGTGATACAATTGGTCGTAACGGGATATTTGCCTTGTGTATTTTGGGTCTGCCGTAGAATCGAGGTAGGACTGGTCCATTGGACCTGCTCTGAACTGCATTTTATGAACTATTCTATATATTTTCAAGAGTTGATTTGTAAGGAGTAGATTTGCTTTTCGGACTTTGACCACGGGTTGATATCAATTAGAGAACCATCGAATACGACGGAGTACTGGACAATTGCTCCCAACTAGTGTGAGACTCACTCAGGGTACTCATCCCACAAAGCAAGTTCGTATACCATTCAGCTACTGAGACGCAATCCACCTGCCAGCCCATGAATTCTAAGTTCTACCAATTCGTGATTTTAACGCTACCACCAACTATTGTCATTGGCGGGAGAACCATCCTCACTCCTGACTGGATTGACTACACTGGTCACGATTTCTAACTAAAACTCCAGGAAACTCCATCTTGTAGCAAGTCACTATAGGGCATCAGATTTGTAAGGATCAGATTTGTTTTTCCAATTTTTCTATGTACGACATTATTTGTTATACCACTTGATGGTTAACTATGAGTATAACGACAAAACTTTTAATTTCAGGATTTCATCATGAGCTGACAGTAGTTAGAGAACCATTAGAAAACCAACTGGGAGTACTGGACAGCTGTTTCGTCAGCCTAGTTTGGGACTCTTCAGCAGTACATACCCACCACTAGGGTTCGAACCCAGGACCTTCCGGTTACAAGGCTAGCCAGCTCATATACCATTAAGCCACTGGGACCCGATTCAATGGTCCTTGAATTCTAACTTCTGTCAATTCACGACATAGCGTGACCACTAGCCAATGTCTTCGGCGAGTATTTGTCCTCACAGCCGACCCGTTGCACCCTACTGGTCACGACTTCCCACTGGAACCCAGGTAACTACCTACCTGAATAGGGCCGGTCGCCAGTGAGCATCTTATTGGTATTTAAGTGTTGGTTTGTAGGGATTTGATTGGTTTCAGGATTTCATCATGAGCTGACAGTAGTAGAAGTTAGAATTCAAGGACCATTGGATCGGGTCCCAGTGGCTTAATGGTATACCAGCTCGCCTTGTAACCGGAAGGTCCTGGGTTCGAATCCCGGTGGGTGCATACTGCTGAAGAGTCCCAAACCAGGACGAAACAGCTGTCCAGTACTCCCAGGTTTTCCAATGGTTCTCTAACTACTGTCAGCTCATGATGAAATCCTGAAACCAATCAAATCCCTACAAAACAACACTTGAAAAACTTTTAATTGCATTTCATACTACTAATATTATTTGATGTATATTCAAACCTTCATTTAAATTTCCTCATGGGATATAAATTCTTGAATGCCATGTATATATGATTGTTCAGCTTGATAATAAATTCGTTGAAAAGAATCGATTCACTAAATATTGTGTTTTAAGTCTTCTGAAAAAAAAAACCAATTTACATCCTAACTTTTGATGCTAAGAGAAAGAGTTTTCCATCAAATAAATGAAGACACTCAATGCATTCTGGACAAAACAGTTTATTGACATGAACCCTTAACTTGTGACAGCTGAGAGAATACGGTGAGAGGGAAATTTTTGTTTCTCCCTAAAATATGTGGGAATTATTGTTGGGGAAATAGAGTTGCATGAGATTTCCCTTTGTTCGTTGGTGACACTTATTAGTCTGTTATTTTTTGCACTCTAATATATATGATTTCATGAGTTAACTCTTGATTTTATCGAAAACACGGATAACCATCTTATTGTAGGCGTTAGCTGTGTTATACTGGGCTTCACTTTAGGTCTACGAATATATCCAAAAATAAACACCTTAGCTCTTCACTCCGTATTCTTCAATATTACTAAAATGTTTTCCAAAAAAACAATTGACTGAGCGAAGAAATCTGGATTCCTTTTCAATTAATAGTTACTCATCATCGGATGGCTCTACACAAATATATAGTTTTTACATCAAAATGTTTTACCAATCAAACGGTTAAGTTAATCGGTTTTAGTTTTTTTTGCGGCGGGGGTGGAATGAAATTAAGAGGTTGAAGGTTATTGAAACAGATAATTTTGCGTCGCTGGCATAGCAGTAGAATGTTCGTCAACCATGCTTATGGTCTGGAGTTCACTCCCCGGCCGATGCACTTCTAAACCTCGCTAATTCAATAATAAGTCTGGTGAAGGGGGAAGGTCAGGCATGAGGCTAGTAACCCCATCCAGTAAAAATAAAAACCACTGCTACTGAAACTTCAGGTCTCTAGCTTGAAACCTTATGTTCCACTGGGAATATAAAGAAATATAATTAAAAAAAATCAAAATTAAAATAAAACAAATAACTAATAGTTATTAGTTTTAAAAGAGGGGTGAAAACTAATTACGGAATTCAAGATAAGCTGATGCTTAGGATTTAGAAACAAGTCATTATGTTATCAAGAAATGTGTAAAATAATGATGACTCAGAAGAGTTGCGTAAAATACAAACAAGTTGATGTAACTAGCTATAGCTGTGAAAATTTGAAAACTAGCGACGTCAAAGGATAGTTACAAAGGGAGGGGGAAAATATCGTTTTTAAAAACTTAATACATTTTATGCAGTTGACCATGGCAAATAAGGGGGCTATAGAAATTTCTTTTGAACCAAAGCACAGATTTGGCTTGTTCAGATGAATTGCGTTTTCCTCTACCATATGTAAAAGTCGTACTCGTTGACTATGAGGTGAGAAGTTGGGTGATATATGGTGAATAACTTTGAAAGCTCTGTTAGAGTCGATTTGATGTCCAGTATCGATGAGATGAGCTAATACTGAGCTGCGTATAGCTTTATTCGAACCTATGACACATCAAGATTGGAGGTATTCAGGAATTCGACGATTTACTTGCCTAATCATACGGCCTATGCAGCTAGCTCCGCCTGGGCTGCTAAACTGGTAAATACACATAGAAGAGGAGGAACAAGATGGTTTGTGTTTATTTCTTGAACTAAGTATTGGTCGGCTAGTGAATAAACAACATAGCTTAGCTGCATATAAAGTCCTTCTGAAGGCCCTTCTCAGACGTTGTGATAAGATTTTACTATTGATATCACTATAGGGAGGTTGACTTTTTGGGGGACAGTAGACGTTTTATTCTCTGAGTTCACGTGTTTGTTTACAAATTTAGTTGGATATCCGTTTCTAATTAATAGATCGCGAATATTACCGAGTTCATTATTCAGTGTCTCAAATGTTAAAAAAAGATAATTGTATAAACTGTAGACACTTACTCAACTCTAGCTTTTTCATTCTCAGCAAGTACTTCATTACGTTTCAGAACGCGTAGAATTTGTTCTTCTTCATCTGTACTCAATGGTTGACCTCGACGACGTTGTACCGACTGTGCTCTAGATGACCATCCAGTTCCAAGTCTGTCAAGAGTTTAATGAGTAAAAATATGTGATGCGTAAAAAGTTTTAGAAAACAAGTATATACAGAGCATTATTTGAGAAACATTTTTAAAGCGTCAGCGTACAAGCACTTCGTCACGAACTGACATGTGTTACAGAACCCAAGAAGGCCAGATAACAATGGAGGTTGCTTAACCTTAGCTTGAAATTCTTCAACATTCCGTATTCATGATGCTCTTGAGTTAGAATCTATGTGTAGGTACCACTGAAGAATCTCAGTCCAGGACGAAACAGTTATCTATTCCTGTTTAGCTTTCAGTAGCTGTCTGACACTGATGCCAGTTTGAGAAATAATCTACGCTGAAAGTTATTTTAATTCATTAGGGCCTTATAAACCATTCCTATTAGGATTGGGGTCAAATGATCCATCCTTTTCATAAGTCTCTTATTACTAGTCTAATAAACAGTCATGAATACTTATTACCTAATCACTCTAATTAGCACAGTCTGGTCTGTAAGCATTCTGATTTTTGACTTCTGTTACACCCTGCTGGTTTGTATGTGTATGTGTGTGTCATGGAAGTTAATACACTCTATTGTATCTAATTCACTTTAAACTTTCCTTTTACTGATTGGACCAAAGTGTCTGGCCACCGCTGACAAGTAGGCTCCTTGTGTGGATGTTGTGGAATTTCCAAAATGAAATAAATAATAATTGATAGCTTTCGCATAAGGGGTGAATCTTGTCGCCAAAGCGGTCTTGTGGATCATGCTTTAGCGTTTGAAACTATTGGTACTCAATTCGGGCCTCAATCGGAACACCATTACTTACTGGGAATGCAAACACATCCAGATGACGAGTCTCAGACGGAACGAAACGAGTATCCTGGATTCGACTGCTAATCACCAATTACTAAACCAACAAACTAACCAAGAACCAACCGCTCAACAAATATGTAGGGGAAAATGAAGATGGGTTAGAGATTACACTGGCTATGAAGGCTGTCGAATGACACTGCGCGCCAGGCCTTCGAGTGGAATCCAAGTAATAAACGACGAGTGGGTGGTCGGAGCGAGGGTGGTATGGAGGAGATCGTGTGAGTTAGAGGTTGAGGAGATGCGAGTTTGTGGGGAACCGTGGTCAAAGCTGAAGACGACAGCAGACGATATTACAAAGCGGAGATGTGTCTTCGAAGCCGTATGTTCCACCCGAAACTCAAGGGAATAATAATAATACAGCTATTATTAATACATTTTTTACTGATTTCGTTGAATTTTGATATTTCCTGGATTCGAACTCATACGGTGGGTGCGTACTGCCGATGATTACCAAACTAGGATGAAACAGCTGTCTAGTACCTTACCACTGATTTTTGATGGTTCTCTTACCGAAATACATCCGTGGTCAAACTTGTGAAAAGTAACAGATTTTATCCCGATAGATTCAAAAAGGTCTCCATTTTCTTCTCTTTACATAACCAGGGTTCATAACCCTAATCGCACAAACTTCTGCCACCTCAAGCTATTTTTGTATGTTTGTTCACTGACAACATTGCATAACTTGACAGAATCAATATAATAATAGTATTCTAGAAGACGCTTTGTTATCGAAATCTCTAGTAGCTTGAATTCAGTTTTCTTCAATTCGTCTTCGGAAAATGTTTGATCAAGTGAGTAGGCGATCGCTTTCCAATGATATAGTGGATCAGAAGTGACAACGATCTACTTTCCATCTGAATATTCTTCCTATACTTTCTCCCACATCATAATCTACTATGATCGCATTTAGTTAACTCTCTCTCTCTCTCTGTCTTCTTCAAAAATACACAACTGTCGGCACCGTACACTTTTTTTACTCATGACACCCTCAGTCTCACGTTTCTCATGTGTTAGAACGTTTAGCCAGTACATACAGTGAAGATGAAATAGTTCAGAGGTATGTGAGCGCAGACACACACACACACACGTACATCAAACAATGCACCGACTACGCCTAATCAGAATAAAATAGTATCATTTTATTTCACCTATTTTCATCAGCCTCCATTAATTTTTCTTTTAAAAAAGAATGTTCCTTTATTGTTAAGTATGCCCCCACAGATAGTGTGTTCTAACTTCCTTGTAAAGTTAGTATGCTTAATTAATAATTTTATGCATGAGAATTTCTTTAGAAAAAAATGTGAAGAAACAATGCTTAATTTAGTTGTTTTTTTGTTTTGTTTTGAAAATACGTTTGTTGTATATGACCATGAAGCATAATTCATTTCACTTCACTGTGTGATTTCCCTTTCTGGCGGCGTATAAACAATAACTGTCTCTTCAAGTTGTAGTATATACGATCCAATAAAATGGTTGAACTAAATGCCGAAGCTTTGAAGTTTCTGTCTGATGACACACACAATCGAAGACTTACAAGCGAAGACCGAAAAACTGGTCGAAGAAGCAGCCGGCTAAGACAGGACTCCATCCAGGTGAACATAGACAAGACGGAGGTGATGAAAATAACCAACCAACCACCAACAACAACAGCAACATCCAGCGCCAGCCACCATCAACAAGAGGGATTTGAAAGAGGTTACTTCATTCATTCATTCACTTATCTAAGGAGCATTGTCTTAACCACAGGAAGTCGGAACGGACGAGGATGTCAAATCTAGGGAGAATCGGGAAGGCGAGAGAGAAACACATTCATCAACCTGAAACAACTAATATGGAAGGAAATCTTCGTCACTCAGCATTAACAACAAAATTTAGTAGGATTTTCAATACAAACGTAAAGTCAGTCAGTTCTTCTATACGGATCAGAAACTTGGTGGGCGGGTCACAAAGAATATTTCCAACAGCCTGTTTCAGACCTTTATCAACCAACTGTCTTCTCTGGGTCTATACTGAAGATCAGATGACCGAGCCGGAAAGAATCCCTAACAAAAAAGTATGGGAACAAACAAACAAACAAAACAAGAACAAACCAATCGCCCAACAAATATGCAGGAGAAAGTGGGGATGGATGGATTGGACACTCGTTGAGGAGGCCGGTTGGTGACATCTCGCGCGCGTCGGGCCATTGCCCGAGTGGAACCAGGCCGAAAGGGAAGCGGCGAGTGGGTCGTCAGAGCAAGGGTGACATGAAGGAGATCGTGTGAAGAGTAGTTGAAACAGTATGGAGGAAACATATGGAGTTGGAATTAAATTACATAGAAAATAATCTTGGGCTAAAACAGTAACTATGATGGAGCTGACTTATACCATGGCATTATATCATGCCTTTTTGACACTTCGATGACAGTTATCTCCCTGAAACTTATCATTAATTTTCACGCTAAGGTGGTACTGTAATAAATTTCAGAAGGTAAAATTCTATGCCTTGAAGACAAAGATAAGGAATAATCTCTAGTTAATACGAAGAAAAATGTTAAGGAAGACGAGTTTATAGGTACTGGGTTTGGTTTATGATGTGTTAGGCGTTGCGGTTAAGAAGCCTGTTGACTTCATAAAAACATACGTTCAAGGTTAGTTTATTGCTTTGCATTCCGAAGGGAGCAAAGGTTCCAAGCTTGAGCATTACATTTTCAGCTGCAATTGGTTTTATTCTAAAAAAGATGAGGTTACTATCTTCTTAGCCAATTTTCCTTCTTTACTAAGCTTATCACCAAATTTTCGAGGTATAATAGTCTGTCAGTCGACCGTCGAACTCCACACAACGTTCTACCTCTGAACCACCAACTAACCAGACGTAATTAAAATTCCTACTCTCCTTACCTACTCATAGCCATAATCCGGTTTGACGTATTCATGACAGTTGGTCAGTGTTACACAGTGAAATTCTAATCATATTTTAAGGGTACAGAAATGCTTTTCACTTTGAGCTCACGGTATTAAAAGGATAACATCGTTTTAAATATGTAGTAAAAGTATTTGGAGTACATGTAGAAACATCCCATGAAATCCCTACTCATAATCTCAAAATATGTTTTACCTTGTTATTAAAATAGATTTCCAGTTAACTTTAACTTTCCTAGTACAGTCGAGTGATCGATAATTTATGAAATTGGATCAGTTTATTTTATTGATGAATGATAAATTCCTATTTTTTCCTTACTTTATTTATGTTGCGATAGTAGTTAGCGACAAGATTTAAATCTGAACACAGGGTTTGTTGTGGGTTAACTATTCAACTGCTACTAACTGTTTGGTGGTAGCCCGGAGGACCTCTTAGCACTTTTCAAGGGGGTGTATTTGTAATCTCACAAAGATCAGTATCTCCCTGATAATTTGAATCCACCTCATCCACCGCATTAATCAGAGATTGATCTTTAGTAGGACTGTAATATTTTTAAACTGATTATTCGCTGGGATGTAACCAGTGTTATGTGTGTAGTCTTTTGGGATGCTGAGGGAGTTTTATTAGTTCATTTTGAAATATGGGCCTAAACCAATCACCTAAAACCAACTCGAAGTACATCATGATGGTGAGTTCCCTGGTTTGATGTATTCATTGCAAAATTAACTGATGTAACTCAGCCATCACCACCACGAAGCCACTACTCAACAAATATGGAGAAGAAAATGGAGATAATTCAGACGGACGCCTAGGCCCTGGCCTTAAGTAGGAAACGAATGGAGAAAGCCGAGTTGTGCTTGCGTCGGTGTGACATGAAGGAGAGTGTATGAGGAGGAGACGAAAGCTTAGGTGCAGTTCTTGAATCAGCTAAAGAATACTACAGAGAACAGGACAAAGTGGATATGTCGTGTGGAGAAGTTGTATGTTCCACTCGTAACCCAAAGGATTAATCATGATATCACCGCGATAAACTAGACAGGTGATACTAGTTGCAGCCCACTCCTTATAATTAAAATACGAATCTAACTCATGCTTTTTGTGAGATAACATAAGAGTCAGTAAGTATGTTGTAAAATTTAGGCTAAATTTAATATTTTTTTATTGCGGTAAAAATTTACGACTCAACTAGTCGTTTGTTTTTGAACGTTTCTGTTTTACTAAGCTTAGTTTATGTTAGGCG